ATCTGCTTGCAAAATACTAAATAAAATCTGTACAAAATATCAGATCTGAGGATAATATGCACAAGATATAAGATGTGCATCAGGAAAATCTCAAGCGCTGGCACGAAACCATTGGTTAGTTTGAGCTAAAACGTCTCAAACAAGAAAAGAAAATGACTGCATTTTTGTGATTTTTCTGGTGCAGCAAAATTGATAATTTACATACATAATTATCTCCACTAGCTTTATTTGTTAAGTTTATAAATTAAATATGGTATATTATCTATCAAATACATGTTACTGTTGTTAAAAGAAAATTAAATAGCAAAAATCACCTTTGAAGATTGTGATGTTGTAATATTTTATCTTAACTTGTGCCTCTTAAAATATTGCATACAGTATCGAGATGTTATTGTAACAGGAGTTCAGTTTTGAGATATTGAGTTCTTTTTAAACGGGTGTTTCTTACATTATTTTTCATTACATTTTTACAAATGTTATTGAAGAAAAGAGTATTATCTTATTTTATAGTTTTTTTTTTTATGAAAATAAAAGTGTTTTACACAATTGTGATCTTCTTTCTAAGTCAAAACATCTTGATTCTCATTTTCATGCAGGGCTACTTTATGCAATTTACCAGTATTGGTATCGTCTAAAGTTTGCTTTTTTTGTCAGAAACACTATCAGTCAGCCAACAGTCATGCATTTGCCTCAATGCATGCATTAAAAAAAAGGTGTAGCATTTTTTTTCACTTAATGTGAAATGCACTCAGGGTAGCACGGTGGACCAGTGGTTAGCACTGTGGCCGAGTCCCTCGGTCAGTTGGTCTTTCTGTGTGGAGTTTGCATGTTCTCCCCATTTTGCTGAGGGTTTCCTCCTAGTGCTCCGGTTTCCCCCACAGTCCAAACTAAATTAGCCAGTGTGTGTGTGAATGTGAGAGAGAGTCTATGGGTGTTTTCCAGTACTGGGTTGCGGCTGAAAGGGCATCCGCTGTTTAATACATATGCTGGAATAGTTGGCTGTAGCAAACCCTGATGAATAAAGGACTAAGCTAAAGGAAAATGAATGAATTAATGAATGAATGAAATGCAATTGCAATATGCAAATTGTGAGCAGTTGTGTGGAGCTGAACAAGTGGAGTGGTGATGAACAAAAGACTAGACACCCCATTGTAAATGGTTACACATCTGGGCTGAACACTCAGGAAAGATCATTGGAAACACATCTTCATAGGTGGACACAGTTGATTAGTGGAGCACAGCAGAATTTTACTGATTGGGTTTCTGCTTGTTTATTGATTTTGGTTTTATTGTGTGAGTAAATTATGTGAAGCTTTAAGTGCAGTGGACTGCAGACTTGTTTAAAGGGGTTGGTATGTCATGCTATGTTGTGTTATGTTGTGTTGTGTTTTTGTTTTATGTTTTGTAAAATAGTTTCATTATGCTGTAGAAGAAAATGTTCTTTAACTACAAACTCAGCAAGCACACCTGAAACCATCTTCATCCTACTGCTAATGTAGATGTTGGACTGAAGCAGCTGATATTTCTTTACACTGAGCCTTCCTCAGAGGCTTGATGAAGAACTACTGAGAGATTATAGCTGCTGTCTGGGCTTTCACTGCTGAACTACACCTCCCTTTCTTCATATGTTCAATACTGTTTCCCTGTGTCATCTCATTTCATTACGCAGAACTTCATTTGTAAACGAAATTGTTTTGTTTTCTTTGCATGAACGGATTTCTTTGGTTGTTATCAACATCTGGTGAAAATTTCAAGTCAACAGCACCTTTAGAAATATGCTGTCTGAGAAAAATGGTGGCGTGTTCAATTCTTATTTCCTTATTTATATATATTTATTTATCAACCACAATGAATGGACTATATTTACATTTTAAACCCAGCGGAAACCTTGATGCCAAAACATGTTAAGAATGCAAGACGATTTGATGTCAATTTGCTACTTTTATTTTGAAGCCACATCAAAATGGCTTCAAACAAATGGATGTTAGATCAGATGTTAGATGTCAATTTGATGTCGTTTTGACATAAAGATAGTTTACTTGCATTGTAAGAGATACAAAATCCAGTTAGTAATTGAAGCTTTCAATAAATAGAGCATTTCTTATATTATAATACTTTCTGTGTTGTTATTTTGGTGGTCAAAAGGGCATTGGTGAATGAATGTCAAATGGACATCAATCTTTTGCCATCAAATTGATTATTGTTTTAAAAAAAAACTCAGTTTATTTAGAACTTCAGGGCAAAAATTATGCCAATGCGAAATAAACAGTAAAGAAACAATAGACATTTTATTTCAACCCAGGCTCATTCTGGAAACGTAGCCCTGCTGATGTTTCTGAAGACCACAAAATACGTCCTGAGAGGTATGCATTTGTGCAGTTTTTGATTTCGCGAATTCGCTTTTTCGCATCTCGAATGCCTCTCGCGAGTGGCATTCGCATAGCGCTGTTCTTGCGTAAAGCCACCGGAGGCCGATGTCGAGCAACCATCTGTCCGACTCAATGACTGAACGATTGACTGGGCAGCCGGCCAATCAGCCGACCTCCTTCCCTAAACCCAAGCAACGATTTACAAAAGCCGTCCAGAAAGAAAAAAAGCCTTTGTCTGATTTTGACTCGTGTTTTCTCGCCCAGTTATGAACTCATTTACTTTATTTTTTGGATTATGTTTTTTATCTTACCTGATTTCTGGAACCGCTCTTCCCTGGACTCGAAGCCGGTCATCACGGCCGGCTTCCTTCCGGGCCTCTGCTCCGCCGACATAACACGACAAGCTAACCGGACAAACCGGTTGCGGCGGGAAAACCCTCCACACGGAGGTGAGCCGTCACCCGGCGAGCGCAAAGAGGAGCGGCGTCACACTACCCAGTAGCGTTCGCTTGAAAAACTAAATGCAGCCACACGTAACTCCGGCCATGTAAATCGCGGTCTGCAGAAACGTCTGCTGGGCTACGTTTTCAGAATGAGTTTGGGTTGTTTTATTTCATCCATAAAATATACAGTTGAAGTCAGAATTATTCGCCCCCTCCAAAGTTTTTTCTTCTTATTAAAATTTTTTCCAGAGGATGTTTAACAGAGCAAGGAAATTTTCACAGTGAGTCTGATAATATTTTTTTCTTCTGGAGAAAGTCTTATTTGTTTTATTTTGGCTAGAATAAAAGTAGTTTTTAATTTTTTAAAAAACATTTTAAGGTCAATATTATTAGCCCCTTTAATTTATATATTTTTTCTCGATAATCTACAGAAAAAAACATTATTACGCAATAACTTGCCTAATTACCCAAACCTGCCTAGTTAATCTAATTACCCTATTCAAGACTTTAAATGTCACTTTAAGCTGTATAGAAGTGTCTTGAAGAATATCAAGTCTAATATTAATTACTGTCATCATGACAAAGAGAAAATAAATCAGTTATTAGAAAATATTTAATAAAAACTATTATGATTAGAAATGTGTTAAGAAATCTGCTCTCCGTTAAACAGAAATTAGGAAAAAAAATAAACGGGGTCAAATAATTCAGGGGGGCTAATAATTCTGACTTCAACTGTACATAATCTTATTGTACAGCTTTAGCTGAAACTTTGTATTATCATCCGCTTAATTTTACATTTCACCTGGGCAGTGAGTTTTTAAAAGAACCATGTTTACTTCTAAAGTGTTCATATGAATACCTTATCACAGTTTAAAGCTCCACCTCCGTGACCTCTGAATCCTCTGAATTAGCATGCTATAATAAAGCTTTTCTATGCACTAAATAAGTTTGCCCTGTGAGCTGATGAAAGATCATCACAGATTCTTATATGCAGTGAAGAGCCTTCAAGTTGACTGTGTGTGTGTGTGTTTTTTAATAGTTTCAATAATAGACTTTTAAATTAAAATTCAAGACTCGTTTGTGGTTTCCTTCAATAAAGCTCCTGCAGTTAAAGAAATATATTATTTTTTATAAATAGGCTCATTTTACAGCTCTTCTAGAGTAGGATGCTAAATAGTCAATATTGTTGTTGACTGTTATGATAGCAATATTTTTTACGATATAACTAACTTTAAAAAATAAGTTTTTATCAGCAATTTAATTTTACTTCAGCTTAGCCCCTTTATTCAGCAGGAGTGGCCACAGCAGAATGAACCGGCAACTTAAACTTTAAGCATATGCTTTACACAGCAGATCCCCTTCCAGCTGGAACCCGGCACTGGGCAAACACCCATACACACTCATTCACACACACACACACTCATACACTACGGCCAATTTAGTTAATCAATTCCCCTATATCGCTTGTGTTTGGACTGTGGAGGAAACCCACGCCAACACGGGGCGAACATGCAAACTTCACACAGCAACGCCAACTGACCCAGCCGAGACTCGAACCAGCAAACCTTCTTGCTGAGAGGCCACAGTGCTAACCAGTGAGTGACCGTGTTGCCTTATCGAGTTTTGAACTGAGAGGGTGTGTCTGAGCCTCGTACATTATCAGGAAGACACTTCCAGAGTTTTGGAGCCATATATGAGAAGGCTCGACCTCCTTTAGTGGACTTCTGGGTATTCTGGGTACTACCAGAAGCCCTGAGTTTTGAGACTTTAAAGAGCGGGTTGGATTGTAGCGAGACAGAATTAGGCATGGGATGATAACCGGTTTTAAGGTTTATAGAGGTTTGCAAAAGTCAAAGTTTTAAAAACCTAAAATGTTCTGTAATACAGTTCCTACAGTATATGCAATTTACATTTGTATGTGTTTTTACAACTGTTTTATTTGTTTTTTTGATAAGTTAATGATGTATTTTAATTATTCAGCCTGACATGTTTACCTTACGCAAATATTTGCTATAAAAGTTGGAAAGTTGTTGACATTTAAAAAGATCATATGTTAGAGCAGTGATCACAATACCATGATATTTTTATCCAAGGTTTTCATACTGTCAGAATCTTATACCAGCTCTTGCCTAGACAGTAGGGTGGTCAGATACACCGTTTATATAATTGTTTTATTGTTCGTTCTTAGGTTGGCAGAGGATCTTCATCATGCCTGTCCTGAACGTGACAGAAGAGCTGACCATCACTGCGTCTCCGTCCTCCGCGGTGTTTTTGTCTCTCCATCAGTCGAACTGCTCTGTGTCTCCATCTCCGTCCTCTCCGCCGTATAACTTCTATGCCGTGCTGCTGGTGCTGCTGATCTTCTGTGTGGTGTTCGGTAACGTGCTGGTGTGTGTGGCGGTGTCCCGAGAGAAAGCGCTCCAGACCACCACCAATTACCTCATCGTGTCCCTGGCTGTGTCTGACCTGCTGCTGGCCACATTGGTGATGCCCTGGGGCGTCTATCTGGAGGTCAGTAAACATGCAGGCTGCACATTTACTGCTGCAATCCTGATAGGCACACAGGAACATAGGAAATCTGAATTTTTTCCCATATTCCAAGTTCTTTTCAGCTTATTGGAAATGCTTGTCTCGGTATACATTTTCGCGAAACGTGGGTGTCTTTCAGAGCATATTGCAGATGACAAGTCCACTAGAGGGCGCTGTGTACATTTTTGCGAGACTTTAAATATCTTAAGTAGTACATAATTTACTACGTAAAATATTTGGGCATATGTGAACTACAGAATCGTGCTTGTTTCTGTGCCAAAACAGTTGATCAAAGATTCCCTCAGCTCGGTTTCCTCCTGGTGCTCCAATCCAAACACATGCGCTATAGGGGAATTGAATGAACCGAATTGGCCGTAGTGTATGAGTGTGTGTGTAAATGAGTGTATGCGTGTTTCTCAGTACTGTGTTGCAGCTGCAAGGGTATCCACTGTGTAAAACATATGCTGTAATAGTTGGCAGTTCTTTCCACTGTAGCGACTTCTGGTAAATCAGAGACTAAGCCGAAGGAAAATGAATGAATGAACGAATGTTGAATATGAAAGTGAAAGTGTCAATATATAAATATATATATATATATATATATATATATATATATATATATATATTAATTACAAGCCTTAACCATTCAAATTTCTCATCATCATAAATTAAGTGCAGTTTATTTATAAACTAATGTCGAGAGGATCACGTGCTTATGAGTTGTTTGCAGCTGGTCCCGCATTATCCAATTTATGATTCACCAATCAGATGATTCCTAAGCCACTATAAATCCCCTCAGTTCCATATCACAGCCATCTTCAATTGAAGAATCCCCCCTTCCACCCCTACTCCTCCTCCTTTCCTAAATGAGTAACACAGTGGCCCAGTGGTTGGCCCAGTTGCTCATCAACAACACATGACCAGCAACGCGTTGATAATAACAAATAATCAGATTACAAACAACCGTTATGTTTATAGGTGTTGTAAAATGTGCGGGTCCTTCAACGGGACTGGGCTGCGGTTTGGGGGGTGTGTGAGACAGAGGGAGAGAGAGAGAGAAAAGAGGAGCGGTTTTTAAGCAATGAGACCATTTTCTGTGTTGTTCCCTCTTTGGTGTCTTATTTTTTGTACTACACGGAAAGTAATAAATATTTTGGACCAAGTTACATGTGTCCTCTTTCATTCACCAGCTGCAACGATAAGAGTTCTCCCCTGATGAATCTCCCCTGATATCTCTAACACAACAAAGAGACAGAGCAGGAAAGGTTTACACATGTAATATTTTTCCTGAGGCGATTTAAAGCAAAATACACAATGACTCTCAATCAAGCATATCTACAATGATAAGGAACATGTTTACTTACTGAGTTATTAACGCACAGCAATCCCACGTGAAGAAAGGACGGACTTTGAAGGAATAAACAGTGTGAGTAGAGCTCCATAGTGCACTGGACAAGTCTGAACATGTCCGCCCACGCGAGCGCAGCACGCAGGTCTGTACAATTACCTAATTTATCGGCTTAAATATATCGGCCTAATTATGACATCGAATCGATAACGATAATCTTAAAAATAGCGTTTAGCGGCCGATACCGATATGGGCGCCGATATATCGTGCATCCCTAGTAAGTAGTTATCTCTTAAGAGCAATCACTATTTGTTCATTAGCTACTACAGCAGGGGAGTTCTCCAGATCTATCTGAGCTCAAACTCCTCTCTCGCCCTGCAATGAGAGGGAGCCCCGGGCTCGAGGATCTTATGAGATGAGTAATCCACTAGAGTGAAATTTATGCAAATGTGAAATTAAATTTCTAACGAGCCTGTGTTGACTTTTTCAGTTGAAAATGTTTGTTCATTAAATGTAAGTTTTACAATTAAAAAGCATGTCTCGTTAATAGAACATATTAAATGTGTATAGTTAAAACACAATGAATAACATAATTTAAGAAAGCTTTTATCATTACAGCCCTATGATCAGATTTCTTTAATTAATTCCAGTTTTATTTCCATTTTCATGGTAAAATCAAATGTTAGTTATATATATATTTAATTTAATTAAATTACCAAACTCAGATAAAATGTAATTTGTCTGTGAGTGTGTTGAGTGTTGCATAAGTGTGTGTGTTTGTGCAGGTTGTTGGTGAGTGGAGGTTCAGCAGGATTCACTGTGATGTTCTGCTAACGCTGGATGTGATGATGTGCACCGCCAGCATCCTCAACCTGTGCGCCATCAGCATCGACAGGTGAAACCAGACTTCATACACAGTTTTACTACTACAGTACCTGGAACCCTGCGATACACTCATTCTTTCAGATGCAATCAATCAATCCTCCCTTTCTCATAGGATGTGTCTGATTATCATGTCATCGATTTGGTTCAATTTGATATTTCGGTGCATTGGGCTAATAATGACCAATACTTAAGGGCTAATAATTCTGAATATATCTTCAAAACCTTGTAGGAATGGGTTTTAACCACATCGGTTCGAACTGTAGTTCTGCCGAACGACTAAAAAGTTACCAGTATTGATGGTAAAAAAAAACTGTACATTTCTAGTCAAACTATTAATCTGCAATCTAATGCCAAAAACGGAAATAAGGGCAGTATTAATAGCCTAAAATGTGAGAGAGCGTTGATGTTATGTGATTGTATTGCATTGCAATATGGAGCAATTAAATGTTGATGTTAAATCAAAAGTAATTCACAAATACTTGAAAATGAGATGATTTAATGGCAATAATTCTCTTTGGTTACAACTGAATTAATTAGAAAATAACTGTATTAAATGATAAAATACGAAGTGGTAAAACACATGATGTAAATTGTACCCAGCTTAAATGTAAAATTTAATTTACCAGAGGTAGAAGGAGAGACACAGGGGGAGGGAGAGAGAGACAAATGGCTCGTTTCCACTGACTGTTACAGTACTGTACGGTTCGGGTTGGTACGGATCACCTTTATCAGGCTTGCGTTTCCACTACCAAGGGTACCCTTTTGGTGGGCGTGGTGTATGACAAAGTTTCAGTCGACGTCATTTTCACTCGAGAAAATGCCTACAATAAAGCTGCACAGGTCGTTCACATATCATATGAAAAGCACTTCTTACAAAATAGATGCTTTACGCACATAAATACATGTGTTTAAATGTTTATTACTAACTTTTCTATAAACAGGAGTTGATTATAACTGCAGATCAATGACGGTGCGAAATAGGCTACTGTAACGTCTGTAATTATATTAAATAAATGAACATATATGAACACATACAGACCCTTACAGTCTCTGATATGTTACCAACTACAGAAGAACTACACAAAGCAGACATTTCGTCATTAATTAGGTTCAAAACAACACAAAGTATAGCCTACAGTCAGAGTAAACCTCTCATCAGTGTCTGTAATCTTCAGCAGCACATGAAGCCTCTGTTAGAGAGTCATTCCATCAATCCCAGTTCATATTAGTCCAAAAGGTGATAATAAAGATTAAAACAAGGCAGTTTGTTCACGTTTGCTGAAGAAATAACGTGCTCCTTGGCTTCGCCTTTTTTCTGCGCCCCACTCTCGCGTTTGTCCTTTTCTTTCTGAATTTGTCACTCTCGTTTGTCAGCTTCTCACAGGATCGGGTTTCCAAAAGCTTGTCAATAATCAAGTGCATGTTATTAATATCAGCTCAAGAAGTTTGTTATTGTTGAAAGAGACGCGCGGCGAAAGCATGGAAGAAAGCGAAACCACTCGGGCTTCAGACTGGCTCGTAAAAAACTACGCGGCACAGGGTAAATCCGCTCTTCTCCAAAGCTTTGTGGCTGTTTATCAAGATGACGACAGGGTTTATTTGCAGGATCGACCATGGCTGCATATGTATTTATATACATAATTATATAATATAACATAATTATATTTATAATTCTGCTGTAATCTCTCGCTGTGTATTTCAAACATGGCGGGTCTTTTGTTTACATTCTGGCTTGTTGCATCTACGAATGATGTATCTCTGTAAACCAATAGCGTTCAGCTGCGCGTGTAGCTCCACCTTTTGGGACCCTTTCTGCAGTTATAACCCTTTTGAAAGGGTCCCGAAAAAGTGGTTTGGTACGGTTCGGTTCGGTACGCCTTTTGACAGTGGAAATGGCCATAAAAGCGTACCAAACTAAACCGTACCGTACCACTCAGTGGAAACGGGCCAAAAGAGAGCCGGCCCAGAAGTTAGCCTGATTTTAGTAGAGTCAGAGAAGATAGACTCCAGGGGAGGAGAGGAGCAGACCAGTAAAAGAGGCAGAGCAGAGTTTACCACCCATTTTGTATCTTTCTTGACCATGTGACTAAGGCCCTGTTTACACTAATGCATTTTCGTTTTAAAACGCATAAGTTTTGCTACGGTTACGCCATCCGTCCACACTACGCCGGAGTTCTCGAGCGCCGAAAACGGAGCGTTTTGAAAACGCTGGAGAGCCGGTTTTCATTCTGAAACACTGCTGCTCCGTCTCAGTGTGGATGAGGAAAAACGGAGACATCTGAAAACGGAGGTGGGACTGCTGAGATTCACTACCTGATTGGGGCTTTTGTGTCATTGCGTATCCTTCCCTTATTCGTCAAGTCCCTATCACATGTCTTTAACGCTACCGGAAACAACTGTACTGGAAACAACAACACGGGCACAGAAATGGGAGCGTTGTTTGCACTATTGTCTGTTTTAGGCGCCATTGTGCAGTTATTTATTTGTTACGTTTTGTAACATCTCGACCTCGTCGTCTGTCCACAAAAATACCTCTCTTGCTTTCTTTGCCATCGCGTTTAATGTTCAACCGGCGTTTGTTGACTAACAATAACCAAATGCCGAGCGAGACGCATGCTTTCTGTTTATACTAGAATGCGCATGCCCAGAGTGCGCGAATGGTCATGTGATATGAAACGGTTCTATCATGGATAGAACCTTGAAACCGGTTATCGTCCCATGCCTATTTCATATGTTAATTTTTGGGATATACTCACAGAATAGTGTTGAGTGTTCGTAAGCTTATAAGATACAGTACGTATTTATCGGTAATCCCAGTCATCTGCATGACCATGTCAGCAGTTTCCTGATCAGTTTTGCCTCAGTGTTTGTTTGCAGCTTCGCTTGACCTGAATTAATCTTCGGGTTTAAACGCACTCCAGGCTATTACAAGCCGAGGAGATCATGAATTATAAATCCTGCCGTTTGTTACAGTCGCTTTTACGCTTGCGGGTGAGTTTTAGCAAATGCTGCTCCTCATTAAAGCGGAGCTGGGAAATTGGAAGTGGCCATTAAAATCTGCGTACATGAATAAGTCATACAGAAATGAGACAGACGTACAGAGCTTCGCTTATAATTATTTCTGATCATTATATAAGCGTTAAGCATCATTACTGTAGCTGAAAGCGCAGCAAAGAGAAGCACAGATTACTTTTTAACTTTCAGTGAATTCTATACACATTTAAAATGCAATTATGCTTATATTTATACTGAAAGGTGCGAGTTTTTAATTATTCACAGTATTTATGCATTTAAATCAAATCAGGAAATGACACTTTTTAACTTTTCAATTAATTTTTTATCCTTAAGTATAATTAAAACTAGGTAGTGGTTAGCACTGTGGCCTCACAGCAAGAAGGTCGCTGGTTTGAGTCCCGGCTGGGTCTGTTGGCGTTTCTGTGTGGAGTTTGCATGTTCTCCCCATGTTGTAGTGGGTTTCCTCCGGGTGCTCTGGTTTCCCCCACAGTCCAAACACATGCGCTATAGGGGAACTGATGGACTAAATTGGCTGCAGTGTATGAGAGTGTGTGTATAAATGAGTGTGTATGGGTGTTTCCCAGTTCTGGGTTGCAGCTGTAAGGGCATTTGCTGTGTAAAACATATGTTTGAATAGTTAGTGATTCATTTCACTTTGGCGACGTCTGAAATAGAGACTAAGCCAAAAGAAAATGAATAAATAAACAAAACTGTAAACTAACTGTGTAAGTGACTAAATAAGTCGACATGTGATTTTATATACAGTCTTTAACTTAAACTTTATTATATTAAAGCATATTAAATGGAAGTGTCTGCTTTAATGTTTCAAACAACTTTGGTAAATAAATTTAAAAATCAATTAATCTCAATATATGTGTGAAATAATGTTCATTGTAGCAGATATAATTATATCAGTGCATCACTGCAAATTATGCAAATTATTAGGAACATGCTAATTATTCTGTGCTGTACTTATTAAAATATATCACAGATTAAAGGTGCTGTTTGTAAGCTTTCAACTCTTTTAAAGCATCAATAATGCATAATATGTTTGCAGATATTTCAGAAACTAAGTGAACACTCTTGTTTATCTGAAAAACAATGCTGAAGTCAGATATTCTGCTTTGAAAATGTGCGTTGCGTAGCTTAACGGCTGTCTTTGTTTTGGTCATTTAACCTGCCCAATGCCAGTTTAGCCAATTATATTACAGTACCCCAGGTTGCCTTCATGGAAAACAGCATATTTTATTTATATAGGAAGACTGTCAAAGTGTGCGTCTGTAACTGCAACCTCCGATGGACAGTAGCAAACTCTGAAATGAGATGCAGATTCAGAGTTCCACATTGAGGTGGTTATTGATTAGCAAACAGAGTTACATTGTAACCCGTGTCCTAACAATACGCTATATGAATAAATTTGCAGTAATGAGCAATTTGGCTGTTTGCACCAGACGAAACACGACAGAAATGTAAATACAGCCATACAGAAGCACAGAATATGCACTCACTGCACTCCAATGCAATGATAATATTAGGTATGTAATCTAATAAGAAATGGGAACTAACGAAGTACAAATACTTCGTTACTGTACTTGAGTAGTTGTTTCTTTTTAATTTTGATTCTTACATTTTTACACAAATATCTGTACTTTCTACTTGTTAAATTCTTTAAAGCACGGTCATTACTTTCGTTTTCATGTGTTTGGTGGCGCAATCTAGATTATTTCTTATCATTGCACAATAATATGAGCGCCTGTTTGATGCAGTCAGTCTTGTTCCTCATTGCCTGCCTGCGTGCTGCAGTGTGCGGCATTCTCAAGCCTATCGCGCACCGTACGTTTGGTAGTTTATGAAGATTACTATGAGAAAGGAGAGGATGACAACGCAGATGTGACAGAGAAAGTCTGAGAATTCACCATGACCGATGCTGCCCTCTTTCACGCTAATGAGACACCTTTTGCTCGATCGGATCACAGGTAAACAAGAGAAACACATTCCAATTTAAAAGCATGCCGTTTAAATGCTTAAGCCTTTTGCCCAGTTCCAATCATACTGCACGGTCTTTCCAGCCTGATCTCACGGGAAAACGTAAGTATTTTACGTTTTGTCAGTTTAGTGGCTAATTCAGTTGTACGAAATTAGAGTCGTACGAAATGGTATGATTTTAAAAAGAAGGCGTGGCACTTAACGCCACCCCTAGCCCCAGTCGTCATTGGGTGATGAGCAAATCGTACTAAATTGTACGAATTAGATTGTACGAATGCATACAAATTAGCCACTAAATGAAAAAGTTACGAATTGCTGTGAGATTGTGTTGGCCTTTCTCTGCTCTTTCATTCTAATACCAGTGAAATAAAGTGCTTTTTTTGTAAAGATTTGTACATTTAGTACTAAAACAATCAAATACTTTATTAAAAACGTATGCATTGCGGTTTATTCCCTTTATTTCTGATAAGTTCATATTTCCTAATACAGAATTTATGCTGTTTTTCAACTTTTATTGATTTTTCTATTGACTGTAGGCCTATACTGTTGTCTTCAATCAAATTTTTTAACAAATATTTTACAACTACAAAAGTAACTGTACTGTACTAATCTCGTTAAAACAGGTAAGCAAAGACTATAAAACAGTTCTCTTCCATTTTGATGGGCATATAAAGCTGAGTATCATCAGCATATAGGTTCACCCTAAGAGATCAGAACTAAACGAATATAAAACATTTGCTTAAATCTCAGCCCACAATCTTAAACGCTCAATCAAAATATTGTGATATAATGTGTCAAATGCTGCAGTCAAGTCTAGCGAAACTAGAAGTGCACATTTTCCTGAACAGATCTTTTAATACCGGTTGGTTTGTGCACGTCCTGTCTATGTAGACTATGGAGAGATGTTAATATGTGGCTGTCAATCAAGTTGGTGGGCGGGGATACCGCACTCCTACATCACGTCATGGTCGGCCTCAAAATGAGAGGGATTTGGATCTTATTTTAACGTCAGGAAATTTCAAAAAAGAGACTTACTGTGTTTCTATCACTCCAATATGACCGTGGACACACACTACCTGCACACAGCTCTGTCCAAACAGCTTACAACAGAGGATTTTCATCATGGGTGTTCTGACTTTTAATCGTGTATAACACTTTTGACATTGTTTTGACGCTTGAAAACTTTTTTGTCCTTGAAGCGTGTATATATTTCTACACACACACATATATATCTATATATGCATGTATTGGAGAACATTGACTCATCCTATACAAATCATTTTAAAATTTTCAGCCAATTCATCAGAGTCTAAACTGAAATTCTCTTCTTATTAATGTTCATTATTAATGGAGGTTTTGTCTGTGCGCGAGTCTCAGAAATGCCTCTTTGAGTTGCTTTCTGGAGGGTGTGTGTGTGTGTGTGTGTGTGTGTGTGTGTGTGTGTGTTTTAGACTGAATAGATCTGTGGTGTTGTAGTTTAAGGACGTGATTCTCTCTGCATTTCTCTCTCTCTCTTTTTCTCTCTCTCTCTCTCTCTCTCTCTCTCTTTCTCTCTCTTTTTTTATTGCAATTTTAGACCACAGAACATACAAGGGCAATAACAACATTATATTAACATCCCATCAAATACAATATAAGAAGAAAATAAAAAAATACAGTTATTCAAAAAACTAAATTGAAGGCTTTAAAATAATCAACAGTTCTTTTCGCTTTGGTATTTTTTGTTTCTTTTCTTGTGCATAGGTAATGACCTTTTTCTATTTTAAAGTGAGTAAAATTAAGTTTTTTCACTGCCCATTTACATTCATGAATAAAAAATGTCCATATATAATGAGCAAATTAACAATATGCCACATTTTGAAGTCGACTGTATTCTCATAAAGAAATAAAACATCTGTCTTTGAATTCCAATGCAATATTTGTACTCTGCTTCACAAAAAAGAAAAGATCACACCAAAAAACTGTGTATTAATACAATCATAAAATAAATGAACAAAACTCTCTTCTTTATCGTTACAGAAAGCACTTTTTAAATCAATATCCTCTCTCTTTCTCTCTCTCCCTCCCTCTTTTTTATTGCTTTATTGGCATGACAAATGTTACAAATGTATTGCCAAAGCAGTTATAAAGTTTACATAAAAAGTAACACACATATGTAACAAACAAAAAAAAAAAAAAACAGTACACACAATAAATAGTATTCATTCATTTTCTTGTCGGCTTAGTCCCTTTATTAATCTGTGGTCGCCACAGCGGAATGAACTGCCAACTTATCCATATATATTTTTATCTATATGGATTTTTTATCTAACTTATATCTATATATTTTTGCTGTGAGGCGACAGCACTGCCTACTGCCTTGCTGTAAATAGTAGTAAAAAAAAAATATATATAAAAGTTAAATATTTATATATAAAAATTTTATATAATTTTAACAATACATCATATTATTCAATATATCACACTAATATTCAATATATTATATTATTATTCAACGTATCATATTATTCATACCAATCAATACAAAAATAGATCAGAATAAACTACATTTAACAATCAACATTTTAGGATAAAACAGTAATAAAAACAATAATAATCAGTATATTTACAATGATTCTCTCTCTCTGTGTGTGTGTGTGTGTGTATTATTTCCTGCTGTCAGATTTAACGCTGTGTGTCAGATCAATAAGCGCTGTGTGTTTCTGCACTCTTGATTGATGTTATTGATGAGTAGATTGACAAACACACAGCCCATTGATCAGTGATTATGGTTGGTGTGTGTTTGTGTGCATGTGTGGGAGTGCTTGTGTGTGTGTGTGCACGCACCATATGTTTCTTTTGGTTTGTGTGTGTGGGGGGGGGGTTGGAGGGGGTGTTGTTATGTTTCTGTGTGTTTGTGTGTGCCAAATGTGTCTTTTTTTGTCTGTTTGAATGTGTGCCTGTGTGTGGGTGTATCTGCCTGGTTGTGTGTCAAGTTTGTGTGTGCACCGTATGTTTCTTTTTGTCTGTCTGTGTGTGTGTGTGTCTCTGTGTGTGTGCATGCGTGTGTGTGTTTGTGTGTGTTTTAATATGTGCATATGTCAATTTCAGTTAAAGCAGGGTGAATCAGCTTTCAGCTACTACACCCCCTGCTGCTGGAATCAGCTTCCAGAAATGATCAGATGTGCTCCAACATTAGGCACATTGACATTAGGACTGAACACACATCTGTTCAGCTGTGCCTTTACTGAATGAGCACTGTGCTGCGTCCGGCAGATCGCACTATAATGTTTTTCTCTTCTCTTTCATTATTTTATAACACATTTTACATCACTTTTATTATGTCTTTGTTTTTATTTTTCTTATACTTGCTTCTTTTATTGCTGTTTATGTAAAGCACTTTAAATTGCCACTTGAAATGTGCTATAGAAATAATCTGGCCTTGCCTGTGTGTGTGTGTTTGTCTGTGCTTGAATGTGTCTGTTTAGTTTTGTGTGTCAAATGTGTGTTTCAATGTGCCATATGTGTTTTTCTGTATGCGTGTGTGTTTTTGTTTTTACATGCCTATGGGGACCTGAATGCACACAGGCTCATGGGGACTTAAATTGAGTCCCCCACTGGTAAACATGTCTATAAATCACACAGAATGGATGAAGAAAGTATTTAGATGATGTAAAAGTGCAGATTATTTGCTGTGAGGGTGGAGTTTGGGGTTGGTTTGGGGGAGAGGAGAGAATATTGAGTCTGTGCAGTAGAAACATTGATTGTGTGTCTCTGTGTGTGTGTGTGTGTGTGTGTGTGTGTGTGTGTGTGTGTGTGTGTGTGTGCAGGTACACAGCGGTGGCCATGCCGCTGCTCTACAACACACGCTACAGCTCCAGGAGACGCGTCGCTCTGATGATCGCTGTCGTATGGTTTCTGTCCTTCGCCATCTCCTGCCCACTGCTGTTCGGCCTCAACAACACTGGTACACACACACACACATAGCCGACCTTTCTTATGAGCAAACTAAGTGGCTGCTGAGGGCCCCTGCTGTTACTAGGGGGCCCCCACAACCTGCTACTGGTGCGAGCTGCTTTTCTTTGCTGAAATCATTATATTTGATTTTACAAATTTCCTTCATTGTCAGTGCTTTAGTACTTAAATATTTATACATTTTCAATGAAAAGAAAAAAAATCATGACTTTATCAAAGTTGAAATAATAATATAATATAAGTCATGTGATCTACAGTAAGCTAGCTCCATCTCATTTCTCAAATGTGTTCTTTGTTCTCGCGGTCGGAGTTTGTTCTTCTAAGGAGACCTGCAAGACCGACCGGTCACCACGAACGCGAGCCCAATGAAACTAAACTAACGTTCTTTTCCAGGTGTAGAAAAACTGAGGGAGAAAATGACGACGAGAAGATAATTTCAGCATCGCTTTTAAGTACTAATGGTGATGTTAAAGACGTAGGGCTCTATCATACACCCGGCGCAATGTGGCGCAAGGCGCGACGCAATTGTTAATTGCTAGTTACAGCTCAACGCAAGAGTCGTTTTGACGTTTTGCACCATGCTGTTTAAATAGCAAATGCATTTGCGTTTATATGTGCGCCCATAGGCAGCACATTGAACACATTTCATAAGTGGTCAGAAACTTGTAAATAACTCATGAAAGAATAAAGTTAAAACCAAGCACACCATTGTTTTTCTTGTGAAATTCTCAATAAGTATGAAGTGTCACATGACCCTCTTCCTATTAAAAAAGCAAAAGTTGAATCCAAGATGGCCGGCTTAAAAATGGCCACCATGGCCACCACCCATCTTGAAAAGTTTGCCCCTCACATATATTTAAGAGTTTACACTTAGCTGATGATTGATAATAAAGCTAGTTTGGCGTGTTGTCCCGGGAGAGAGCCCTTATAAGATCCTCGAGCCCTGGGCTCCCTCCCGTTGCAAGGCGAGAGGGGAGTTTGAGCTCAGGTAGATCTCAATGACTCCCCCTCTTGCTTATTGTAGTTAAGTGTCAGATATGGATGCTGAAGGTGTGCTCAGAGTTTAGCTAAACTATTTTGGATTAATTGTTTAGGGTGCTTGTTTTTGAACAGTGGGAGGAAACCGGAGGACCCGGGGAAAACCCACGCGACTACCGGGAGAATGAGCAAACTCCGCACAGAAATGCTGTCTGGTTTGGAAAGGAATTAAACCAGGGGCATTCTTGCTGTGAGTCAACAGCGCTAATCACTGGCCACCGTGACGCCCGTTTGAAAGGAGGGAAAGTAGGGTTGGGTGGGGGGAGGTTCTTTGAGACGAAGATATTGAGATGAGAAAAGTCTGGTTATTTATAGCGAGTTAAGGATCGTCTGATAGGATAATCAGTTATTAGCTAAAGTTGGAACAGCTGTGAACAATCATAAGCATGTGATCCTCTCGAAATTTGTTCATAAATAAACTTTACCTAATGTGCCACAAACAGGACGTTAATATCACCAACCATTCCCATTTTATTGAGGTGTATCCACATAAATGCCCCACCCTGTACATTTTATTGCTAAGTAATGCATTTTCACTTTTGTCTAATTATTCCTCGCTGTCTTTCATTGCAGATATTTTACTTTTGGAATTGATTAAAACAAACAAAAAACTCAATCTAGAACCTTTTAAAAAATCTTCAGAGCATGTTTTAAACACTCTAGATCAGTGGTCCCCAGCCCCCAAGCCGGTACCGGTTTGTGGATCAATCAGTACCGGGCCGCACAAGAATTAATTATCTTTAAGTTGGCAGATAAAGTAGCTGCATTTAAAGCCAAACTGGATTTGTGGGGAAAGTGCGTGAACAGAGGCATATTGGACTTGCATGATATGTGTGTGTGCTGGCGCTCACGGGCTGTTTCACGGGCACACGCAAAGCTTGAAGGTAAACAAACAACGGCTTATCATAAGCATTTTATCGATAATTATTTACATGGTTGGCATTAAGATAAACATATAAATGTTATCTGACTAACTTCCAGCAGCTAAATGTGTCTGGAAAAATATTCAAGGCTTTTATTCTCATAAACCGCGCGGACGTGAATGCGTCTGACTGTTCTGATTGGCTGAAGCAGGCATCTCACGTCAACACATTCTAGACATGCACGCACTCTTTCCGGCAATCTTCCTTTTGCGTTTCCACAGCGCAGCATTCCGGCAAATTTCCGGTAATGTTACAACTTCTCTTTCCGGAAAAAAGCCAATTTACCGGTATTTTTAAAAAGGCCCTGTTCACAAATACACACCTTTTAGGAAATTTGCCGGTAATTTTCCGGAAAGATCTGTATGTGTGAAAGGGGCTTTTGTCTGCCATTACCCCCAGATGGGACCATCTCGTTGCAAAGAAACAAGCTCAGGGCTCCCACTGATTTAGCGTGGGAGTTTTTGATGTTATAATATGTCATATTATTGGAGCAGTGTGTTAATAAAGTTATTACTTCCTAATGTTATAATAGCATTGTAATGTTGGAGCAATGTTCTAATAAAGTTCCATTTGAACTCCCCCAACCCCCCAGTCCGCAGAAAAATTCTCAAGCGTTGACCAGTCCACAGTCAGAAAAAGGTTGGGGACCACTGCTCTAGAAGGCTGCAAAGTAGAAATCATTGGTCTCTTAATTACAGATAGTTTAATTGTTCATTTTGGAAGCTGCTAGTTGACAGAAACAATGCTGTTTTAAAACGTCCAAATCATTCAGAGAGTTATTAAGTAGAAGAAATCAGACTTCACTTTTCTGTTTCATTAATTGTATTTAATAAGCAATAACATCATTGTGGGCCGTTTTGCAATGGAAATATTCCACTATTTAGGGCAAGGTAGGGCCCCAAAATTATTCTGCTTATTAGGGCCCCCAAATGTGCTGGGCCAACCCTGGGTGGTGGCTGTCAGTCAGTCAGTTAAGACTGATTTATACTTCTGCGTCAATCGCACACGTATGCTATGGCGCAGCCTACGCTTTAAAGCATAGCCCTCGCCGTGGCCGTCAGCGTCGCTAATGTGTAACTCTCAAAAAATGAAACTACACGACTTATCAATGCCTAGCGCAAGCTCTGTGATCGGTCAGCTGGAAATCACTGAAGAGCCTGTGCAGGACCAAGAGCCGCTCGAGCCCGATGGAGCGAGTGTTTACAAGTGTCGACTGTTTACAAGGAGCTCCGGATGGAGACTGTTACTTTGTTTACCTTATGGTTAAAGTTGTTGCACGTCCGCCGGTTCCTGCCTCAAAATGTGTGAGTCTAAACCACTTGTACATTAAGGAAGCGTTCAGGAAAAAACTAAACACCAGAGAAGAAACTCAACAGAAAGAAACACAAACACCTCACTGCCAACTAGTGTTTCGGAAGTGTATTGCAGAGCAACAGAAAAAGCGTGCAGAAGTATGAATGCACAGCTACAGGTGTTGCACGCTGATCACTTGACACAGAAGTATAAGCCAGGCTTAAAGTCAGTCAGTCGACAGCAGCCTCTAGTGAATTTACACGAGAACAGAGGCGCAAATGGCTCTCGCGAGAGAAATTTGAGATCTCTAAAAGCATGCACAGCGGCCTCTGGTGGATTCGCGAAAACAAAAACTAGCTCTTGGGACGTATTTTGCTCTTTCCAGAAATGTATATAGGGCTACGTATTCAGAATGAGCCTGAGTTGACATTTTGCGCATTGCAGTCGCAGATAGTTCTGACAAAAAAAATTCCTTTTAACATAGAAATTATAGCACATCACATGTAGTGTAGGACGCGGTGTCATAAAGCAGCACATCGAGCTTTGTAAATGAATGTTCTGTCCTCTTTGCAAGCACGTTGTTGCATAAACAGGACTCTTGAATTTTGAGCGATCGGCTGCTTTTGTGAAGGTAAAAGCAGCGTCAGCCTTGACTCAATGGTTGAAACTCTGATATTGTGTTAGATTGTTGGATGATCTGTGAAGGTCCCTGAAATGCAGACACACGTGAGCTCAACTTCACATCATCATGAACACAAACACTTCAAACTTCAAGACAAAAACGCCGATTAAACGTGCCGGTTCTCAACTCTGCTGTCGATACACGTGATGGTAATAATAAATGAACCCAGAAAGATTTACTTTTAGACCTTGACAAACTGAGCTGCACTGCAACAAAAAGCTTCTCTTATTTAGGGTTTTTATCATGTTTCTAGTCCAAATATTTTACAATTCTGAAACCAAGAAGCTTTTTCTAGACAAGCAAAACCTGTTGTCTTGTTTTCAGTAATACTGAGTCAAAATTAAGTCAGTTTTTCCCTTAAACAAGCTAAGAAATCTGCTAATAGAGTAAACCAAATAATATTACATCAAATATTACATCAATAATATTATACCAAATATTACATCAATAATATTACATCAAATATTACATCAATAATATTACATCAAATATTACATCAATAATATTACATCAAATATTACATCAATAATATTACATCAAATATTACATCAATAATATTACATCAAATATTACATCAATAATATTATACCAAATATTACATCAATAATATTACATCAAATATTACATCAATAATATTACATCAAATATTACATCAATAATATTACATCAAATATTACATCAATAATATTACATCAAATATTACATCAATAATATTACATCAAATATTACATCAATAATATTATACCAAATATTACATCAATAGTATTACATCAAATAATATTACATCAAAAATATTCCATCAATAATATTCCATCAATAATATTTCATCAATAATATTACATTAAATATTACATCAATAATATTACACCAAATAATATTACATTAAATATTACACCAATAATATTACATTAAATATTACATTAAATATTACATCAATAATATTACATTAAATATTACATCAATAATATTAGATCACATATTACATCAATAATATTACATCAAATATTACATAAATAATATTACATCAATAGTATTACATCAAATAATATTACATCA